CCGGGGCCACTGACCACTACTCCCAAGTGCTTCTAATCCACTCACCCCTGGCCAGTCCTGACCTTGACAACATTACTGTGGGTGTCATCAGGGTGGTCTGGTTCACTTATACAACATGATCCATAGCACAACCCCTTCCGTGCCCTTCCCCCCCCCCCCCCCCCCCCCACACCTGTGCTGGCCCTGCCTGACTCCTGAGACCCCACCCTAGGCAGTGGGGGTGCCAGGCCAGCAGCACCAGGGGCCAGGGTTACAGAGATGCACTTGGCTGCCACATCTGCCAAATGAGATTTGGTTTCACTTTTAAAAGTCAAAGCTGTCATTAAAAAAAAAGTCACAAAGTAAGGATTCAGCTTTCGCTATAGAAACCTTTTTGCAAAATACCAAAACCTTAGAATTAGGCTATGCGCAACTAAAGGAAACATAGGTAAAGACACCTCAAAGAGGTTACCCATGAATACTTCCCCAAAACAAGTGGTTCTAACTCAGACCGTGTCCAAGTTAAGTCCAAAACATAAGTAGCAGTATGGGAATCTTTCAAACTCCGTAAACAAAGTGACCACATCTCCCTGTAAGTGCAGCGTTTTCCTTGTGTCCTGATACACAGAATCATTTCTGCGCCACTTCAGTAGGAGCCTGCAAGAGATGACAGGAAGTCAAATAGCTGCTGGGAGAAGCCGGTGCTGCTGCCTCTGCTGGCCAGCAGGAGCCGCTCAGCCTCCCTCTGGCCCCGGCTGAGTCAAGCCAGCTTCACCATTCCTCTCGCAATCCACTCAGTATCCTACTATACAACACACTGGGGACAGGAAGCAGCTAGTGGCAGAAGGCCTAGTCCCTTCAGGGCCCACCTGGCCACCTCAAGGCCCTGGGGTGGGGTCGGCACCAGGCACCCTATGTGGGACACTCTACCCAGACCCTAGGGTGCCCACAAGTCCACTGGAATCTTGTTAAAAACAAAGCCTCTTATTTAGGGCCAGTTGGGCTGAGACACTGGCCTTGGAGCAAGCTCTCTCACTGGCTTCACTCGGGTGTCAAGCCCCCAGGCACACCACACCCGCAGGGCCTCACCTTCCACACCTACAATCTCACTTGAGAGGATGCTGGGGCCTGGGTCCTGCCCCCACAGATTCGGGTTTAGTTGGCCAAGAGCCCCCTGGGTAAGACGTGGTCAAGGCCCTCGGTTTGGCTTTGACACCTCCAGGCCTCTCTTCCTGGGAAACTGAGCCTGTTCTTTCCAACACCCCCCCACTCCTGAGCTCTCCAGGTGCACCTGATCCTACACCCTCCCACCAAAGCATCCAGAAATCCAGAAGACTTGTCCACTCACCTATGACTACATCCTCACACCCTGCCAGTTCCAGCTCTGTGGGAAGTGGGGTTGCGACGGGTGGTCCCATTGCCCCTGCCGCCTCGGAATCCACCCCGAGAACTGCGGCCACGAAGAAACCTCCCTGACACCCCAAAGGTCTCCGTGTTGAGCTTCCTCTCTTCGGCCCACGTTGTCCGCCTGGAGCTAAACCATAGAGGAAATGCTGATTGTAGCAAGCACTGACTTTCAGGCTTCTGGCCAGGCCTGTCCTCAGGGCAGCCCAGAAAAGGAGGGACAGACTTACCAGGGCCACTACAGGGAAGGGGTGGCCCTGTCGGCACTGGAGTACGGCTCCAGCACTGCAGGTGCTCCCTGTCACATTTCCAACCAGGACTGTCCCCACAATGGGCAGGGGCTCAGGATCCATCTCTACCATCTCTGTCACCACAGGCGAGCAGTGATACTAGGTCGCTACCAAGGCAGCCCCTGTTGCTTGCTGGGCACACAGAGGAGCCCTGAGGAGGCTGAGGGGCCCAGGAGACCTGAGGCTGAAGCATCAAGTGGACTGTCCTAGACGAGGAGGGGGCTAGGCTAGAGGTCCTTGGAATCTGATGCTTCTGCTTTTGGAGTTGGGAAGACGGGGATACAACACGGACACCCATACCACCCAAACAAGCCGCTGGTGGGAGACTGTCTCCCACATCCAACTGTGTGCCCAGCACGCCCAGCACTCCCACCAATGCAGACAGCAGCTCCAGGGCAGCACACCCACCCCGAGTTCCTCTTCAGCAGAAAACCTGCTGCTCACACAGACTTCTGTGTTTAAAGAAATAGCAACTCCACCCATCAGCTGCCCAGGCCAAAAGACTGAGGAGTCATTCTGGACTCTTCTCACGTCATGTTGGCCAATTCTGTTAGCATCACCTTCAAGATAACATTCAGACTCTACCCCTTCCCTCTGTCACCACCACTGCCAGGTTCCAAGCTGCCTGCGCTGCAGCACTGGCCCCCTAACTGGCCAGGAAGCAGCCACACTTGCCCACTGTCCAACCATTCTCACCAAGGATGCCGTAAAACATCAGACAGCACCACTCTTCAGCTCAAAACCCTCTGATGGCTTCCCTCGGCACTTGGAACAAAATCCATAGTCACTGCCTTGCCTTACATGACCCTATGGGAACCCATCCCCCAGACGCAGCCTGTATGGAAGCGCCTCCCGCACTCATCTGCACAGCCTGCTCCACCCGTGAGAATTGATCATTCACTTCCCATCGCATCCACAGCTCCGGCGCATCGCCCTGGCTGCCTGGCCTTCCACGACACGCTGTTCTATTTCTCACCTGGCATGAGGAGGTGAGGCTCTCCTAGCCTGCCTTACGCATCCCTGTCAACACCCCATGGCATGTCTGGCACTCAATCAAATGGCCCCAAGTCTCCATGCCAGGCCTGCACTGTAGATGCCACCCTCTCTAGGTTGCTCCGTGGGACATCTGACCAGCTGTTAGGTGTGAAAAATAAAACACACCACATGGTTCCTGGTCTCAATGAAGTGAAGGAAGGCCAGTGTGACCATGTTCTAGCCGCATGCCTCAGGCTGCAAAGCAAGGTCCTCAGGCCACTGTGGCAGCAGGACCAGCAAGCAGACCAATGAGGCGCGCTGAATGTTGACACAGGTCTGCCAGAGGGAGGGGTGGGGAGAGGGGTGGTGCAACCCAGCCTTTGTGGGGACAGGACACCAAAGCCAAGAGGAAACAGGGGCTTGACCTCAGCCGACTCCTCGGGTCGGGACCCCCAAGAGGCTTCCCACACACAACCTGCTGGGACTCCCATGCCCATGACACAGAAATGCAAGCAGGACCCTAGAACAGCTACCCTGGGCCTCTGGGTCCAGCTCTGCCTTCAGGTGAGGGCCCTCAGTCCTGTCCTTTCTAGACTGCAGGACTCTCCTCCCCTCATCCATTCAGCCTCCCACCTGGTCTTGAGTTCAGAAGAGATGTTGTCAAAGAACGACTTGGATTTGTCATAGTAGCAGTTGGGCCCCAGAAGGTCTTCCTCGGCCGGCGTTTCGTCACTCTGGGTCACCACAGCTGGGTCCTTTTCTTCCCCCTTCTCAGTCTTGTCATCTACAAAGAGAAGCAGCAAACATGGAGGAACAGGAAGGGCAGAGAGCACAGCCTTCTAGCAGGGTGTTCCTCCGGACCCACCCAGTAGCCACCTCAGGCTGAGACATAACCTACACCTTGTGCTAAGCAGAGATCTCCTTCTACCTTCTCAGCACAGGTCTCCTTCTGCCATCTGGGCCATGCAGTCTGCACCTTATTCTGTGTTCACACCTCCCTCCCGGTAGCAAACTCCTCCTTGTTTCATTAACTCCTCACTCCAGCTCACCACCAGCCTGGCTTCCCTTTCTTCCAGGCATTGCTTCCTTTTTTTTTTTTCTTCTGAGATGGAGTCTTGCTTTGTCACCCAGGCTGGAGTGCAGTGATAGAATCTTGGCTCACTGGCACTGCAATCTCCACCTCATGGGTTCAAACGATTCTCGTCTCAGCCTCCTGAGTAGATGGGATTACAGGCGCCCACCACCATACCCGGCTAATTTTTGTATTTTTAGTAGAGAGGAGGTTTTGTGGTGTTGGCCAGGCTGGTGTTGAACTCCTGACCTCAGGTGATCCACCCACCTTGGCCTCCCAAAGTGCTGAGATTACAGGTGTGAACTACCACACCTAGCCAGGTATCTCTTCTTAACACTCTCTAGGGGTTCTCCTGTGGGGAGGATAATTTTCATAGAATGAGCCAAACCTTTAAAATTCAGTTTCTTCTTAAACTCTTTGTCAAGCTCCTCTCGGTTGAACTGGGCATTTGCACTCTCAAAATCAAAGTCACCCTCAAATTTGATTGTGTTTTCCTTGACATTAGTTGGACGGTTTTGCCCTCTGGAGCGATTCCTCGTTCGCCTGTTTCCTGTGAGGAGAAAGGACAACACTGGCTGAAGGTCACTAACCCAAGCACCTCACAAGCAGTTTCTAGGCACACCCTCAAGGCAGCAGAGGGGGCAGAGCACACGAGCAGTGATTTCACACCAGCACCCCTGAAAAATTGTTACCCAGAGAAGCAGGCAGGAGGACAAGCAGAGCTCAGCCTGATCACTCATGGCCTCCAGAAGTCAAGTGGCAACAGGAGTTACCTGATCGCCTCCTCTGAGGTCTTCTGTTCTCGTCATTCACCTGCCCTTGAGTTTGCACAGCTGCCGGCTGGACTACATCTAAGGCGCAAAAGGGAAGAGTAAGGCGAAGCTCCTGCAGAAGCCGGAAGCCAGAACCCAGCTGTGGAAGCAGGCACCACCACCACGGGGCACGCGGCCAGGGCAGCACTGCAGGAGGCTGCTGCATGGGCCTGCCCTGCAAAAGCACATGGGGCTTAGAATGGGAGAGTAGTATTTTTTAATAAAAAAAAAAAAAATAGCCCAGGAAGTAGTGTGCCACTTTTAGAACATCAAACAAACTCCAGGAAAATATGTGTTCAATTACCACTGGTAGTCTTGCAGCTCGGGGGGGCCTGACGACCATTGAGCTGCGTCCCTGTGGTGCCCTTGCCAGGTAACAGCCTTTTAGCATTCAGGTTATCAGCAGAACCAGTCTGGACACCCTGCTCCACCATGGGGCTCTTGCTGACTGGAATGGATGGAAAACCAGCTCCTGAATTGAGGAGGGGAGGAAGGTTTAAAAATAGAGAGAAAAGAAGCAAGACTTAGACCTCCAGACATTTCTCTTCTGCTGGCATGTCAGGAAGGAAAGGAGGGTAACTGCCTAGAGGTTCTACCAAATCCAAGCAAAGCTCCCCCAGACTGGGCTGTTCCCTCTGAGGCTAGCCCAGGCAGCAAAAGAAGGCCAAGACACTGGGCAGCACCAAGGCCAGTTCATCTTTGGACTGCCCACCCCCAAAGTCCTGAGCTCCCCAAGTTAGGGATCCTCAAGGAGAGGAAAAACACTATGCCTACCCACAGGCACCTTCCCAGTGGCACAGAAACAGCTTTCTTAAAACCATGCATGCACCAATCCCAAAGGGCCTCAGTAGCCCCAACAGCCTGGTGAATTCAGGATCTGAAAATCTGTTTCATTCTGGTCCATACTGGAGAAGAACCAGCCCAGCCTGGGATTTTCTAGAAAATGCAGTGATCGAATTCTAAAGTTAAATTCTAGAACACTGTCATTTCCACTTAAGGCACAATAAAACTAAAAACAAGTAGGAGCTGACTTTCGAGAGGGGAGCAGCCTACACTTCTCTTAGGGGCAAAGGCCCATCATGAAGACACAAAGGGCTCCTAGGTGGCCTTCAGCAAGGGGCTGTGCTTATGAGACTGCAGTTCCTGGGCCCACGCCCAGGGAGATGAACCCTCAGAAATCAAGCCCTCTGAACCCGGAGGAAAAAGGGGAACACCACCCACCTCCTCTCCATCTCCTCCCTTTCCAAAGTTCCAGGACCTGTGAAGACCCTAAACAGGACAATGTGGAACTGGGTACAAGTGAATAGAGATCTGAAACAGAAACATTCCCTAACCACGGGAAAATTATTAGAGGAAGAGCCCAATACACGTGAAGACTGAGGATCTCACCTGTTTTTATGAAATACACACTAAAATGAAAAAAAAAAAATCAGTGTAGAAAAATTCCTTGTAAACAGATCAAGAGAAGCTCTCAAAAGGCAGGCCAGAACGGCTCTGTATAGAGGTCTGGTAAGTGTCCTCTGGCAGGATGCACCCGGCCACTTTCTCACTGATTGTCTTACTCAGCATGACTGGCCTGGAGATGAACACAGCACTACCTGCTTTTTCCTGATCATACCGTGACTACAGGGGCATGGATCTGTGGCTTGTCTGCTTTTCACACAACCAACTAGTTCAAACAAAGTCTTGCCCTGTGAGCAGGTTTAGGTAAATGATCCTAAAAGCAATGGAAGTATCTGTGTCATTTTTAAGTGGGAAAAAAATTACTATTCTCTAACTCAGATACACGGAGTGCATGCAGGATTCGGAAAGCAGCACTTGCAGAATGACAGACTGACAGCAGCTGTGTGCCATAAGGAAAGCCCAGGCGTCATCCCGGACCAGGGCCAGATAATGGTGAGGGTTCCAGCTTGCCGCGGAGCACAGGGTGCTATGTGTAACACATAAACACACAAGATCATCAATGTGAATTTTAGAACTTCAGGGTAAATAAGTAGAATGGGAGGAAAGGTCTAGAAATCCCACAGGCGCCACCACCACCACAGCACAGAGACAGGTGGTGTGCACCAGCATTGGCCAGCTGACCATCAGGCGGACACTGTCCACCTGGCCAAACAGTTGGGGACTGTCACCCAAGTCCCCAATTTTGAATCCCCTAAAAGAGGGAGCTATTCACCACACAGATCAAAGAGCAGCATGGGCATATGAGGTGCTTTGGGGAGTCCCACTGCAGTACTCTAGAACACGTTTAGGACCCAGCACAAACCCCAGGGAAATGACTTGCTGTGAACAATGAAGTTTCCCATATGCAGTAGTCATGGTACAAGTCAACAGAGACCCTGGACCCAGTGAGAGTGAACAAAGTACTCCGCTAATTCTTCGTAATCCCTTCTTTAACACTGAGAGTTCATAAATCAGGACCACGTGCTGAAGCAAACAGGCAGCTCAGCAGCCGCATGGGCTTGGCAAATGATCTGGTACAGCTACTATCATTCTGTCTGCTGGTTTACCCCTCGCTCTCAGAATGGTTTGCAAGACAGCATGCAGTTCTCCCAAACTGCTGTTACCCTTGGCAGTGAGCTGCTGTGGCTCTGAGGACAAGTCAAGCTCTGAAACAGGCTGTGGAGATGGAGAAGAGCTAGGGCTGGAAGCAGCGGCTGAGGCTGGAGGGCTTACCAACTTCTCTAAAGGAAGATAAAGGAGAAAGAGCAAAAAGAAAGCACACAAATAAGTCACGATATATTCGTCTTGTGTCTAGCAAGCTTGGAAAGAGCCAAGCAACCTCTTGTAGGACTCTGTCATACAAACATATTTTAGAAATAGGGAGCTGAGCTGGGAAGGCCACCTGTCACACTAGGAACAGCAATCAAGACAGGCACGATTTGTAGCAGCAAGTGGCCTACAGACCTCATTTAGGGTTCCCTGTCTCACTACTCATGCTGGATTCTGAACAAGGGTGAAGGTGATCACCTGTCAATTCTACACTCTGAGCCCATCTGCAAGGCTAGGTCCAAGTCAAGGATACCACGGGATTTCTCTCTACATATGGAGAATAGAATCATACTCTGGGGTGATTCAATCTCAGTTGAAACCATTTTTGAGTGAGGCACTTACAGTAGAATAATAAACATGATGGGTGGGTTTGTATTTAACTTCTATATTTACAGGCTTATAAATGTGCAAATAGCTGGACCTTATCTGTAATACTACATATAATATCAGTTATTTCTTCTTTCAAGCAGATATAAAGGACTTCCACCTATTTGTTTTTTTGAGACAGAGTCTCACTGTGTCACCCAGGCTGGAGTGCAGTGGCACAATCTTAGCTTACTGAAACCTCCGCTCCAGGGTTAAGCAATTCTCGTGCCTCAACCTCCCAAGTAGCTGGGATTACGGTGTGTACCACCATGCCCAGCTGATTTTTGTACTTCTTATACAGACAGAATTCCATCATGCTGTTCAGGCTGGTCTCGAACACCAGACCTAAGGTGATTCACCCACCTTGGCCTCCCAAAGTGCTGGGATTATAAGCGTGAACCACCATGCCTGGCCCAGGACTTCCGCCTAGATCCATGCTGAGACTTAGAATGAATTTTGATTGGATTCATCTGTTCCAACACTCAGGCCCCTGCCTCTTTTACTCTCAGTCAAGTAGTTTACTAAATGCTCTCATGAGCTGAAGATTCACTGGGTAATTTACTAAGTCTGTAGTAAAACAGTCTACGAGCTGAACATGACAAAAATGCATGTCCCCACCCTCGGGCTCCATCGCTCCACTCAGTGAGTTACACACAAGGATAGTTTACCAGACAGAAACAGGTCACTCACCTAGACCCAGGGAGGCAGCATACTGCTGGCTGAGCAGGGAGCTGGCCGCCAGCGGACCATAGGGCGCCATCCCTCGGAAAGGGCTGTAAGGCACGTGCGGCTGGAAGGGCGAGGCAGAGGCAGAGCCCAGGGAAGACTGAACAACGAGACACTCGGGTGAGAACAGAGAAGGCTATCAGCCCGCACACCTGCATCAGGGCACTTGTTTAGGTGGGAGACAAGCACTGTCCCATTAGCCTGCATCCTTGAGACGCCGGAGGAGCCCTTGGGGTGCAAGTTTCCAGTAGGGCAAGACCTGCCTTTTCCACAGTACTTCATTTCCAGTTCCACCTGTCCATGTAGGTTTTTTTTTTTTTTTTTTTTGAGATAGTCTTGCTCTGTCACCCAGGCTGGAGTGCAGCGGTGTAATCTCGGCTCACTGCAATGTCCACCTCCCAGGTTCAAGCGATTCTCCCTGCCTCAGCCTCCCAAGTAGCTGAAATTACAGGCACCCATCACCATACCCAGCTAATTTTTGTATTTTTAGTAGAGACAGGGTTTTGCATGTTGGCCGGGCTGGTCTTGAACTCCTGATCTCAGATGATCCGCCTGCCTCTGCCTTACAAAGTACTGGGATTACAGGGGTCTTGTCTGTGTAATTCTAACCCAGATTCTCCTAACTCAAAGCCATTGGATGGCTCCCCACTGCTCCCAAAGCCTGCCCTGTGTGATTGCACCTTCCAGGATGGGTGCTCAGCACGGAACCTGGTGCAGTCTCAACCCCAGAGGAGCCAATGAATGTTTACATTTAGAAGTGAAGAAAATGTTAACCTGGGCTCCTTGGTGAAAAATAAGCCATAACCCAATAGGTGGGCACGTAGCATCAAACTTGTAAATCTGGGGTGTTACACAACAGCAGCCTGTAACGTCTGGGCATAACCCAAGGGCAAGGCCTGCAGTCCCGACAGGTATGTCACGCCACTCACAGCAGCTGCTCAGGGCTCAGCCTTCTCCAACCAGAAACTAAGGGCAAACGCTATGCCCCCAACATCACAGGTCCAGGGGCATCCAGTCACACTATACACACATGCCACACACACACACACATACACACACACACACACACACAGCATCCACTCATACTACACTGCACTATACACACACACACGCTACTCACACACGGAACATCCACTCTACACTACACTACACACACACAAGAGCATCCAATCATACACTACACTACACACACAAAGAACATCCACACAGAGCATCCACTCTACACTACACACACACACAGAGCATCCATTCATACACTACACTACACACACACACACACACACACACACAGCATCCATTCATACTACACTACACTATACACTCACATACAGGGAACATCCACTCTACATTACACACACACACTACTCACGGAACATCCACTCTATACACAGACACACACACACAGAGCATCCACTCATATACTACACTACACACACACACACACTACTCACAGGGAACATCCACTCTACACACACACACACACACACACACACACAGCATCCACTCATACTACACTACACTACACAAAGAACATCCACACAGAGCATCCACTCTACACTACACACACACACACACACACACACACACACACAAAGCATCCAATCACTACACTATACTATACACACGCCACTCACACACATGGAACATACACTCTACACCACACACACACACAGCATCCAATCACTATACACACACGCCACTCACACACATGGAACATCCACTCCACACCACACACACACACACAGCATCCACTCATACTACACTACACTACATACACAGTATCACTCATACACTACACTACACACACACACACTAACACACACGGAACATCCACTCTACACACACACAGCATCCACTCATACTACACTACACTACACACACACAGAGCATCCACTCATACACTACACTATATATACACACACAAACACACACACATCCACTCATACATTACACTACACTACACACACACACACACACACACACACACACACACAGAGCATCCACTCATACACTACACTATACACACACACACTAACACACATGGACCATCCACTCTACACTACACACACACACACACAGAGCATCCATTCATACACTACACACACACACACACACACACACACACACACACACACAGAGCATCCACTCACACACTACACGATACACACACACACTAACACACATGGACCATCCACTCTACACTACACACACACACAGAGCATCCATTCATACACTACACTACACATACACACACACACACAGCATCCACTCATACTACACTACACCATACACTCACATACAGGGAACATCCACTCTACATTACACACACACACTACTCACGGAACATCCACTCTATACACAGACACACACACACAGGGCATCCACTCATACACTACACTATACACACACACACTACTCACACACGGAACATCCACTCTACACTACACACACACACACACACACACACACAGAGCATCCACTCATACAACACTATACACACACTACTCATGCACACGAACATCCACTCTACACTACACACACACGAGTACACACACACACACACGTGCACGCATGTGTGCACCAGGGTCCCCTGTTCTCCATCCTTAAAAGCCATGCTACACAGCACAGGCCACCTACTGTGTGCTACAAGAATCACCTTCTGTGGGAACAGCAACAGCCTGGACAAAAGCTAAGCCACTTTAAATTAAAAGGTTATTCCTCACACTGAGCACCTGACCCGACATGCCACCACGCTCCATGTGGAGACCGGCATCTCTCACAGCGTGCACACAGGGGCAGTGGCATACTTACCTGAACAATGGCGGGATCCTGCGGGAGTGTGTGCTGAGCTTTCGGAGGTTCACACACAGTGATATCTTTGATGTCACTTCCCCGGAAAATGATGTACTCATAAATCTCTTCTCTGGGGGGAGCAGGCCTATCTGTGGGACGGTCTTCAGTGCCAAAGGACCTCACTTATGAGTGGAGAAAGAGAAGCGTTAAGGTGTTGTCCTCAGCCAGTTCAATCAACCCCGACGCAACTGCTCTTAAGCCTTCCAGAAGACAGCGGCAACTGCTCCGAGCGACAACACAGTACCCCAGGACCACATTTCAACATCTACTTAACGCCCCCATTTTCAGTGGACAATGCTGATGGCGCATCAATTGGTGAAGCTCCAGACAGTTCTATATCACAAACATGACAAGAACTATTTCACAGACTGTCTCCTGTGCGAACACAGAGCTCTCAGCAAAACAAGGCTTGCTTCGCAAGGCTTTCCTGTCCACAGCAGACGGCAAAAATCAAACAGGCAGCTTGCTGCTTTATGCCCAAAGCCTCACCACACATTGCGCCTGGGGGCGGGGAGGTCAGTTTTCTCGCAAAGGAACGTAGATGAGCGTTCCCTTACCCTTCCATCCACAACAAGCCTTGGAACAGCTGCCACAGAAACAAGGGAGACAGGGTCCCAGGATTGTGAACCCTTGACCCCAGCTTCCGCACCTCTAAGGAATTCTGAGCCCGAGGGACTTCTTGGGGTACCAGCCCCTATGCAGCAGGCTTGCAGGAGCCCTACAAGGTCTCTTTTTAGCAGGCCTCTAGGGGCAGAGCTGGGAGGGACAGCGGCCTCTGACTGGTAAGAGCACAACTCCTACTGAGTCCTGGGCCTACGCTGGACCTCAGTTTCCCTAACTGGACTCCTGTAGTGAGTGCACAGCCCTGGCACGCTCCGCCAGCTCCTGAGCCACGCGGGAGACGGGCTTCAAAAGCTGACAGTCCCAGCTTGGAATGAGTGCGTCCTGTGACACCTCAGGAACCGGGGGAGCCCCGGGTGGGACGTAGGCAGACCCGCTGCACCGGCACCGTTCGCTGCGAGGCAGGGAAGGGCACTCCCCACCTTCTCCGGGGTGAAGACAAAGGGACTGCACCCGCCGCCGCCTCGGCCTCAGCGAGCCTGGACCTCTCCGGAGTCCGGGAAGAGCCCGTTCCTCGAGGCCTCCCAGCGGCTGCAGCGGGGTGTCAGCGCCCACAGGCGGCTGTCGCCACAGGGAAAGCCACACGGCGGGAGCGGCGGTTTCGACGCGGGCATCAGCCGCCGCCGGGTGCTCCCGCCCGGGCAGGACGCTGCATTGGGGCGCAGGATGCGTCCGCTCAGGGCCCAGCTGCCTAACGGGTTCCAGAAAAGATCGCCGGATTCGCGCGTGGTCACGCCGCCCCCCGGCCGCGAGCTTCCCCGCGGGGACCCCCGAGACCGGCCGCGAGCTTCTCCGCCGGGACCCCCGAGACCGGCCGCGAGCTTCTCCGCAGAGACCCCCGACACCGGCCCCGAGCTTCCCCGCGGGGACCCCCGAGACCGGCCGCGAGCTTCTCCGCGGGGACCCCCGAGACCGGCCGCGAGCTTCCCCGCGGGGACCCCCGACACCGGCCCCGAGCTTCCCCGCGGGTACCCCCGACACCGGCCGCGAGCTTCTCCGCCGGGACCCCCGACACCGGCCGCGAGCTTCCCCGCGCCCGGGAGCCGCCCTGGCCCTCGGAGCCCGCACCTGCAGGGCCGGGCTGGGCGGCCAAGGGGGCGGCGCCGCGGGGGCCGGGCCCGTCCCTCCCGAACGCCGCCCGGCGCCCGCGCACAGTAACGCCGCCAGGGAGACCATTGTGCGGCCGGCCGCGCTGGGGGAGGGCGGCGGGTGAAGGCGCGGGCCGCGGGTCTCAACGCCGGCGCGGGGACGCTGGGCGGGCGGGGTCTGGGCGCCGGGCTCCGGGCTCCGGGGGTCTCCACGCCGGGCTCCGGAGCGCCCCGGGGCTGTTGGCGGGCCGGGGTCGCCGGGCGGTTGGGGCCGGCGGGCAGGCGGCGGCCGCTACCTTTGGCGAGCGCCACGGTGGAGTTGTCGGTGTCGATGGTGTAGAGGATGCCCTCGTAGCGGATCTGCGCCTTGGAGATGAGGCTGATCTTGCTGCCCAGATACGGGGTGCCTGAGGAGCCGCTCATGGCGGCGGCCAGGGCGCGTCGGGCTGCCGGGGGGGACAAGCGCCGGGCCGCGGCCCGCTTCGCCACCGCGCGGTGGCCTGGCCGCCCGCTCCTGCGCTCCTCCGCCCTGCCGCCGCCGCCGGGGCGCCTCCTCGCCGCCGCCCGAGGGGCCTGCGCGGGCACCGAGCGAACGAAGGAGGGGCGCGCGGCCGGGGCTCTGAGGGGAACGCGGGGGAGGAGGGGCCGCCGCAGCCACATCCGGGGCCTCGAGCCGCTACGCACCGCCCCCTCGCGCTCGCCGCCCATTGGCTCGCTGCGCCCGCTGGCCTTTAAATATGGCCGCGCCGCCAGCTGAGGGGCGCGCCCGCGAGTCGCGCCTGCGCAACAAGGCCCCGCTGCCCGGAGGCGGATCTTTTCGGCGCTCCGCCCCTTCACGGCCGGCTCCCGGCGGGCCCCGCGCGGAGCTGGCACTCGAGACTCAGCAGTCCGGGAGAGGGGTGGGAAGCGTCCCGGGCGGAGCGCGCGTGCGCCTGGGTGGGCGGCCGCTGTTTGCACGCTCGGTGGGCGGGGCCGGGGAGGAGCGCCAGGCCCCGCCCTCGCGCGTGCCGGCGGGGCTCGGAAGCCTGGGCACGGCCAACTAGGGGTTTTTGCCCCCTTGGCCTCAGTTTCCCCTCCTACAGAAGTGGGGCCCAGGCGACTTCCTTATCTTGGGCCAGGCGCGCCCCTGACCCTCACCCTCGTGGGAGACCCGGGACCGGCGGAGGCCCTGGGCGCCGGGTGTTCCCGGGGAGTCCCGGGACTCCCGCCTGGGTGCCCTGGTGCCCAGGTGCCGGCGGGGGGCGGCAGCTCCTGCGACGGCGGCGCTTCCGGCGTGGCAGCCGCTAAATATAACTTGCTGAGCACACTTTCTCTTTTCATCCTGCCACTCCTCCGAAAGCCGGCCGCAGCTCTCCAGATCCACTAAAATAAATTCTGACTGGCTACCAGGGGCCTCGGAGGCCTCCGCTCGTCCCCGGGGCTGTGGCTCGGAGGCCTTGCCCACCTCCCGGGGCGTGGAGGAGGCTCGGCCGCCCGCAGTCGCTTAGCCGCGGGCCCTCCGCGTGATTCGTGACCGAGGGCGCGCGGTGTGTGCTTTGTCTGTCTCCCTCTTGACCGTGAACATCTTCAGATCAGGGACCAATATTGGGCTCCGGAAAAAAAAATCGTGGGTGGTGACTATAAAAATGCGATAGGCCTGGCGCCAAGGCTCACGCCTGTAATCCCAGCCCTTTGGGAGGCGGAGGCGGGCGGATCACTTGAGGTGAGGAGTTCGAGACCAGCCTGGGCAACATGGTGAAATCCTGTCTTTACTAAAAATACAAAAAAATTAGCTGGGCGTGGTGGCGGGCACCTGTAATCCCAGCTGCTGGGGAGGCTGAGGCAGGAGAATCGCTTGAGTCTGAGAGGTGGAGGTGGCAGTGAGCAGAGATGGCACCACTGCACTCCAGTCCCCGTCTCAAAAATAAATTTAAAAAATGAAATAGAGTAAGACAGAAAATATCAGAAGGTGGGGCGTGGTGGCTCCTGCCGGTAATCCCAGCTCTTTGGGAGGCCAAGGAGGGAGGATCACTGCAGGCCAGGAGTTTGAGATCAGCCTGGGCAACATATGGAGACCCCATCGCTACAAAAAAACTTTAAAAAAAATTAGCCAAGTGCGGGGGCACATACTTGTAGTTCCAGCTGCTTGGGAGGCGGAGGCAGAGACAGGAGGATCCCTTGAGCTCAGGAGTTGGAGTTGGAGGCCACAGTGAGCTGTGATTGGACTACTGCACTCGGGTGGCAGCGAGGCCCATTTCTTTAAGGGGGAAAAAAAGGAAAAGAAAATAACAGGCCGGGCGTGGTGGCCCACACCTGTAATCCCAGCACTTTGGGAGGCCAAGGTGGGTGCATCACAAGGTCAGAAGTTCAAGACCAGCCTGGCCAAGATGGTGAAACCCCGTCTCTACTAAAAGTACAAAAATTAGCCAGGCACGGGGGCAGGCTCCTGTAATTCCAGCTACCTGGGAGGCTGAGGCAGGAGAATTGCTTGAACCCGGGTGGCAGAGATTGCAGTGAAGCCGAGATCAGGCTGCTACACTCCAGCCTGGGCAATAGAGTGAGACTGCATCTCAAAAAAAATAAGGAAAAGAAAAGAAAAGAACAGTATCTCCCAATGTGAGAATAAGTATTATTTTGTGAAGTATTTATTTCACCTATTTGAGTATAGACGTGGTAAGGACCTAAAATGCATTTCTGACTACGCCGAGAACTTCTTACGTGCCAGGCAGGATAGGTGCTATGACTCCGAATTTGACAGAAGGGGAAACAGAGGCCCAGTGCGGGAGAGTCACACTCAGGGAAGTTGCAGGCTGGCCTGGTGGCATCCTTCACAGGCTTAGGGCCGCCTCACATGGTCTCTTGTCTCTTCACGAAAGCGAAGCCAACCTGCTCCCAGCAGAGCCCGGCAATGGCCAGTAAGAGAACAGTGACGAGTTTAAGAAAGGGGACACAGGAAGCTGAAGAGAAGAGGAAAAATTCAGTTTTACCTGGACTCTCAGCTCTCAACACAGCACAGCCTTCCCCCCTTTGACACGCAGGATGCACCTGTGAGGACGAGGTGCCAACCAGATCTCCTGAGCACCTCAGTGAACTGACCTGATGAAGTCAAAGTCCTTGTACCCCCTCACCCCACCCCAGTTTCCAAGAGAGGAAATCCAAGATGAGAGATGGTGTACCTCATGCCTCCTAGGTTCTGAACCACAGGCTTCTGGCTGTGTTGGGGGTGGGGCACATGCTTGACTAGCAGGAGCTGACTCTGCCTTGAAAGAGGAGCTGGATCCTGAGCTCCAGGACTGAAGGCAGGGAGGGTGAGGTTCCCAGAGACCTCCGAGTGCCCGCCCAGCCTGTGGGTGTGCAGCTGGTGGCTCCCTGAGAACATTCGCCACACTGCAAATGCCCAGGAAGGCAGAGGCTAAAAATATACATAGTCCCCAGGTCCAGGAATGCAGGCCCTGCCATTCATTCCTTGGTGTCCTGCCCAAAGTGCAGGGTTCTTGGGAGAGGTCTGAGGTGGGCAGTTGTGTAAGGCCCAGATCGACCTAGAAGTTCACTGGCAGGTTTGTTTCCCAGCCTGGGGCACTTGTATCCAGTGTTTCCACTATAAGCAGCTCTTTACTGTGTACAGGTCTGAAAAGTCCACCCACATGGCAATCACCAAGCTTTAGTCCAGCGAGCCCAAGGATCTAGAGAAATGAGCTGGGGTTTCTGGGAAACCCTAGGCCAGTTGAACTCCCTGCCTCAGTTTCTCCATTTGCCTGCCCATCTCAGTGATGTACGTAGGACCCCTGAAGATCATGCCTGTGAAGGGCTCCAGGAGTAACCAGGGGCTGCTCTGCAGGGCTGTGTAGGAACTGGGTGCACAGAGGGCCCCAGAGGCAGCTGGAGAGGTTTTGGCGGCAGCCACAGCCACTCAGTACATGCCCGCTGTGTAGGAGCAGGCAGCGGTCCCCAGTGACGGCTGGGAAGACACAGAGGCAGGACCCCTGCTCCACATTGCACCACCAGTCTAGCTGGGGTGGCACAGGCCAGCCTCCTGCACAGGTAAGGTGCCCCACCACAGAAAACCCTCTAACGTACCCCTGAGCAAGAATGACTGGCACAGCCATTGATTTCACAGGTGTCACTGCTCAGTGAAAGCCACCCAAAGCAGGTGAGTTAGTTCAGAGGGCATTAACAATGGCTGGTCCACTGATTAAAAAGTCAGTGGTCTGAAGTATGGTAGCGTACTGCTGAGATAGGACCCAACTGCCCCCTCCCCTCATTCAGGATTTGGCACAGGACAGGGGCTTAGGGAGGCGCTGCAGGCCTCAGGCCTTCCTCAGTCTCTCCCTCCACCCCCAGAAGACCCTCCAACTGCACAGGTGTGACAGCGCTGCTGGGAGGGAGCTGAGGAGGGGGCAGGTGCGCCTGGTGCGAAGGCTCAGCGCCAGGTTTGCTAGGAGGGTTTCCAGGCAGGGAATGGGACAGTGAGGCACAGGGACCCACAAGTGGCTGGACAGTAAGGTGAAGCAGGAGGGCTGAGTTGATCTTGCACAATCAGGAATTCTCTCAGAGGTCTGACTTGCTCTCTGTGAATCCAGTTAAATTCATTTCCTCCTGCCCGGGGCTCTGCAGGGCTGTTTTCCCAGGAGGCTCAATGAGCACCAGTGGGTTGAAGTTCAGGCATCGTCAGCCCCTCTTCCCTCTTCCCCTCCCTCTCCCCCTCCTGCCTCCTCTCCCTTTTCTACCTCCCTTTCTCCCCCTCCCACCCCAACAGCCAAGCGTCCTGGCATGAGGAGCCCTGTGGTGATGGGAAGTTCCTAGCCAGCAGCCTCCCTGGAGCTGTCGCCTCAGAAACGCCGGATAAAATGCTGAGAGATCCTACTGGAACAGAGGACGGACCATCAGCGGGAGGCTGGTAGTTTTTCTCTCTTGGGGGCTGTGAGGGCCCTGCTGCCTGGCCTTTCAGGAACGGCTGGGGTGGGGTAACAGTCCCTGGCCCTGTGTTCTACTTGGATAGAAAGTAAATGATGAAAGTCCCCTTCTAAGTCAATCTCCCATTGTCTTACCGAGTGCCCAGCAGCCCGCTCCCACCACTCAGTGCCAGACCTGGTGCCCAAGCCGGCCATTTGGTTCCTCCTCTAACCCCTCCACAGCCCTCCCAATGTGGGGCTGCACCTTCAGAGGGGAGGAAACCAGGCACTCATCCTGGGCAACGTGACAGTCAGGGTCACACGCCAGCACATGGCAGGGCTGGGATTCCTGTCCGAGTCTGCTGGCTGCTAACCCTGGGTGCTCAGTGTCCTGGCCTCTTCCCTCGTGGTCCTCCGTGCTCAGCTTTCAGGCTAGAGGGTGGGTAGTGAACGGCAGGAGGGGACAAAGCCCAGATGCGATGTCTGCACTTAGAGCTCATGCTCTGCAGATGTCCAGATGGAGACCCACCTGAGGTTGGCGCTGGGCATGAGGGAAGGAAGCAGCTCCTTCTTCAAGGGTCTCTCCTCTTACATTTTATCCTCCCTTAACTCCATGCAAAGGATGCTGGGTGCGTCCTAGAGAGTTGCCATGGTAACCCAAGAGGACTCCGGGTGCATCCCAGCCAGGCTGGGCACTTGTCTTTACTCCCGCCTGATGCGGCACGAGAGCCTGCTGGGCAGAGCCACGGCCCTGGGAATAAGGTCATATAAATAAAGATGTGGTGCACATGTTGGGAGCGGTGTGCCAGGCCTCCCGAAGCCTGTCCTCACCCGGCAGCACACCCGAGGACCCTCGTCCGCGCACTGAGACGTTCTCGCTGTCAGATGAAAGTGTTCTGCCAGGACACGTGGTTATTTTTACTTACGTTCAGTTCCGACTTGTTAACACCGTGATCCTTTCCTTCTGTCGCCGCCTTCACCGCCCTGAGAGCAAGGCTGGATTAAGGCTTTGTGTGGCAAGAAATGATGTGCATCGGAAGCCAGCAGGCACCCACACGGGCCCACCAAGGCAGACCCTGGCGGCGAAGCCCATAACTGGGTGCGCGGGGGAGTGTGTGTGGCAGAAGGGGCAGGGCCGGGGCCGGGGGGAAGTCGTCGTTCCAGTGCAGGCCTGCCCCTTGCTTTTCCGGCAGGTACCGGGGGCTGGGTGGGGAGGATGGCGCTGAGACTTTTCTGGTGGCTCGTCTCGTTGAGACAGGCAGTCGCAGGTAGGCACGAATACATGTTTGTCTTTCTCAAGCACCGCAACGTGGAAACCCCGTTTGCCCTGGAGCCTAGCTGCATTCGGGCCAGAACACGTTTACAAATGGCGTTCCCCACACACCACGAACCTCCGAGTCTGGCCCTTCTGTGCTGGTTGAACCAGAGCTCGTGCCTCATTCATTTATGTGTCTAACAGCTTTATTAACGTTTTTCATTACATACTATAATATTCACCCATTTGAGGTATACAGTTCTGGCTGGGCATGGTGGCTCACTCCTGTAATCCCAGCACTTTGGGAGGCTGAGTTGGATGGATCATTTGAGGTCAGGAGTTCAAGACCAGCCTGACCAACACGGTGAAACCCCTTTTCTACTAAAAATACAAAAAAATTAGCCGGGCGTGGTGGGGCATGCCTGTCGTCCCAGCTGCTTGCCAGGCTGAGGCAGGAGAATCGCCTAACCTGGGGGCGGAGGTTGCAGTGAGCCAAGATTGTACCATTACACTCTAGCCTGGGTGAAAGTGCAAGACTCTGCCTCAAAAAAAAAAAAAAAAAAGTACAGTTCACTGACGTTTAGTATATTCATAGAGTTGTGCAATTATCACCACTAATTCCAGAATATTTTCATCACCCCAAAATGAAATCCCAGGCCAGGCGTGGTGGCTCATGCCTGTAATCCTAGCACTTTGGGAGACCGAGGCAGGTGGATCACTTGAGGTCAAAAGTTCAAGACCAGCCCGGGCAATATGGTGAAACCTCATCTCTACTAAAAATATAAATACTAGCCAGGTGTGGTGCTGTGCTCCTGTAATCCCAGCTACTC